TGCAGTTCTTTCCATACTTCACACATTTTCTTAATCAAAAAGGGACATCCTCTACTGCCTCTATTCACAGCTATTTTCTTAGGTTGAACCTTACCAATGGCTTTCTTGAGACCCATGGCGAGATATATAATAACTTATATGCTCAAATGGCCAAAAAACTGTCAAAAAACTGTAAATCCTTGTGAAGAATTGAGGCGGGATAGTCACTGGGCGCGAGACACTGGTAAACTGAGGCGCGATCGCCGTGCCACCACGCGCTAGTCAGCCTGTACGTGTATCAACAAACTCATGTTCCGAGGCAACCCTCGCCTTCCGAGGCAAATTTTCCGAGCAAATCCTGCTCGTATTCCAAAAAACTTGTATACAGGGACACTTGTATTCCGAGGTACCACTGTATATATAAAATTTCAGCAAAGCCGACATGAGACCCGCACCAAATAAAAAACTATGGCGATCGTTAGCCTTGAGCGCCAAACAGCGATGAAATTATTATGCTTTTTTCAGGTTTGTCAACCCCCAGAATTGTTCTACGTCGTTAATTTTGGTATCACTGTGATCGCAATAAAATTCCGTAAACAGACGGACATAATAATAATAATTTATTTAGGAAAAGTACATACATAGATGCAGAGTTACAGTACAAACATTCTGTTTGATTTATAGATAGAGGTAGTACATACAATACCTAAAGCCACTAGTACGCATAGCGTTTCGGACATATGAATATAAAAGTGCAAAACATGGACGTGCCCCACCCGCAAGACCATGGGAAGTTGCTCAAGGGTTACCCGCTACTGCACGCCCAACTGCACATCGGCTACACCCCTACTGAAAAGTTTATACTCCTCAATTTTTTTACCATAATTTTCAATGTACGTGTTTCATATTGGTATCAATGTGTTCACAATGAAATGTTCTAGAGGAACATATGTATAACATGTCACCGAAGCTAACGTAATGCCGGCATCAAATAAAAAGCTAATTCGTTTGTTAGCCGTGCACGCCAAACAGCGTGAATATGTTACTACTCTTTTCAGGTTTTTCAAGTCTAAACTTGTTCGACATCGTTTTTTTTTTTTGTATCAGTGTGATCGCAATAAAATTTCCTACACAGACATATGCATATAAAGTAGACAACATGGGGGCGCATAACCCGCACGACCCCTAAAGTCGCCGAAGCCTTAACTGCTAGAGCACACTCATTGCCACTCCCGCTACACCCAATACACCAGACAAACACATACAGTTTGCTAACAGACATTTTTGTGCAACATTGTTCATTGTGGTATCAAATTATTTGCAATAAAATGCTCTAAATAGAAACACAAATATAAGCAATAACAACCGCAATATATATAAGCAATACCAATAACAAAGTATAAAGACTAAAGTCGGCAAAGTTATCCGTGAGCGCGCAAAACCAGTAAAATGTATATACTCATTTCAGTTGTCTCACCTTATTTCTCATGCTACATCGTTCGTTTTGGTATCATTGTGTTTGCAATAGAATTCTCTATAGGGGTATATGCATATACAGTATAAGGTCTAAAAGCCCGGAGTGACTCTCCACTTCAAAGCCTAAAGTCGGCCAAGTTACCCGTGAGCGCGCAAAATCAGTAAAATGTATATACTCGTTTTAGTTTCCTCACCTTATTTCTCGTGCTACATCGTTTCTTTTAGGATCATTGTGTTCGCAATAGAAATCTCTATAGGGCTATATGAATATAAGATCTTAAGGCCCGGAGTGAGTCCCACAGCAAAGCCTAAAGTCAGCCAAGTTATCTGTGAACGAGCACCGATTGGCACACCTGCAGACTAATGTATATACTCGTTCAGTTTAATAACATAAATTATCTTGCTACATCCTTCATTTTGGTATCAAATTGTTCGCATTAAAAAGGCGCGTATTTTAAAACTAGTCCCATAATAATAGAACAATAAATAGTATTTTAACAAACATTTTAACTTTTGGGCACTTTTTGACACTCGCCACAAAATTAATTATATCTTTTCAGTGTTCTGACATCAATTTTTATGTTACGTCTTTTATTTTGGTATCAAATTGTGCGCAATCTAAAAGCGTTCATTTTGAAACCAGCTAGAAGTTGATTGGATGAAAATTCAATTTTTTACAAATATTTTAGTTTATAACGCGCATGATAGTCATCGGATTCCATTGAGGAGAAAAACTTATGATGATAATAGGAGGGTTCGGAGCGCAATAGTTTTAATAGAACGTTGTTTTAAATATGATATAATGTTTTGGAGCAAAGGTTTTTAAAACATTAATTCTAATTATTAATTATGTACTATTGCTTTACATTCCTCTCTCGTCCTGTCTAAGCTCGATTATGGTTGCCCTGCTTACTCGTCTGCTTCTCCTTCTACTCTTCGCCGTCTTGATGCTTTGCACCATACTGGGTTGCGTCTCAGTTCTGGTGCCTTTCGTTCGACTCCCATCCTTAGCTTGTATGTTGACACTGGCTTCCTGTCTCTCCAGGACCGCCGTGATCGCTACTGTCTTCGCTATTTTGCGCGGTCCTTGCAACATCCTTCTTCTCGCCTCTGTCGTGCTTTAACTTTTATCCCTCCTGCGGTTCCTGTTCCTCTTCACCACCTCCCTCTTTCTGTCCGGTTATCTCGCCTACAGGATTCTCTTTCCGTTCGTATTTCTGATGTTTCTCCTCGTGTTGTTCCTTCTTTGCCCCCGTGGAGGCAAAGAGAGATTTCTTCTCTTCCGCGGTTTTGTACATCCTTGCCCCGTATCACTAAAGCTTTTACCCCTCCTACGGTTCTAAAACGCCTTTTCCTTGAGCACTTTTCTTCTCACTCCCGCTCCGTTTCTGTCTTCACCGATGGGTCTAAGTCAGCGGACGGTGTTGGCTACTCTGTTGTTTTTTCCTGATCGCACTTATATGTGTCGCTTGCCTCCAGAGACTAGCATCTTTACAGCGGAACTTTATGCTATTCTCTATGCTCTTCGTCTCCTACTTTCTCGTTGTCAGTCTTCCTTTGTGGTTGTTTGTTGACTCTCGTAGTGCCCTCATGGCTCTCGGGTCCTTTAATCCGGTTCATCCAGTAGTTGTCGAGATCCAGCATTGGCTGTTTCTCGTTCACAGTAAATTTAAGTCGGTTGAGTTTTGTTGGGTTCCCAGCCATATTGGTGTGTCTTTAAATGAGCGTGCGGATGCTGCTGCCAAGGAAGCTGTCCGCTCTTGTCCCATCTCTCGCAAAGGCATTCCGTATTCCGACTTTTACCCGGTTATCCATTCCTCAGTCCTTACCCGTTGGCAGGCTTCTTGGTTGTCTGTTACTGGTACAAGCTACGTACTCTTAAATGTTGTGTTTCCTCGTGGCCGTCCTCCTTCCACCGTAACCGGCGGTGGGAAACAGCTCTGGCGAGGTTGCGTATTGGCCATACTCGCTTAACCCATGGTCACTTGATGGAGCGCCGCCCTGCTCCTTATTGTCCTAGTTGCATTGTCCCTCTTACGGTCGTGCATGTCCTTCTTGAATGTCCTGACTTCCAGGACGAGCGTGTGTCTTGCTTTCCGACCGCCCCTCGCGGTCACCTGTCCCTCGATAGCATTCTTGGTGACTCGGATACTTTTGATATCGTTCGCCTTATGCGTTTTTGTTCTCGTATTGGCATCCTTGGTGATATTTAGCGCCCTCTGATTATTTTGCGTACTTGATGGTGCTACATAGCCTTCCCGGTTTGGTGCCTTCTTTGATAATTACTTACTTACTTAATTATGTACTAGCAGTACCCGGCCACGCGTTACTGTGGCTCAGCAACGCATGTGCGTTGCTGAGTCACAGCAACCTTCTCTGTCCCTCAGTCCTCCCCACCATTCCCCCCTCCCCCATCTCCTCGGCCTCCCAACCACTCCCGACTCCAATGTCCCCTTGTCCTCCCCACCATTCCCCACTCCACTATCCCCTCTTCCTTCCCACCATGCCCCACTCCCCCACTCCCTTGTCCCTTTGTCCTCCCTACCATTCTCCATTCCCCCATCCCCTCGTCCCCACCATCCCAAACTCCCTCGTCCCCTT